TTGGTGAAGGGTAGGTGGCCCCCTCTTTGTCCCCCAGCAAGAAGCGCAGCTCCCTCTTCCGCAAGATCACAAAGCAGTCAAACCTGCTGCACACTAGCCGCTCGCTGTCGTCGCTGAACCGGTCGCTGTCGTCCAGCGACAGCCTCCCGGGCTCGCCCACGCACGGGCTGCCTGCACGCTCGCCTACCCACAGCTACCGCTCCACGCCCGACTCCGCCTACCTAGGTACGCTCTGCGCCTGCGCGCGGCGGGCCGCGCGGCGCAGGGTGGCGGGGCTGTGCCCTGGCTGTGCCCGCAGCGCGCGACAGCCCCTCTCGCTCACCCGCAGGCGCCTCCTCCCAGAGCAGCTCGCCGGCCTCGAGCACGCCCAACTCGCCAGCGTCGTCGGCGTCGCACCACATCCGGCCCAGCACGCTGCACGGCCTGTCGCCGAAGTTGCACCGCCAGTACCGCTCTGCGCGCTGCAAGTCGGCCGGCAACATCCCCCTGTCGCCACTGGCACACACGCCGTCCCCGACACAGGCGTCGCCACCGCCGCTGCCAGGCCACACGGTGGGCAGCTCGCATACGACGCAGAGCTTCCCTGCGAAGCTGCACTCGTCACCGCCCGTGGTGCGCCCGCGCCCCAAGAGTGCCGAGCCCCCGCGCTCGCCGCTCCTCAAACGCGTGCAGTCGGCAGAGAAGCTGGGAGCCTCGCTGGGCGCCGACAAGAAGGGCGCACTGCGCAAACACAGCCTCGAGGTGGGCCACCCGGATTTCCGCAAGGACTTCCACGGCGAGCTGGCGCTGCATAGCCTCGCCGAGTCTGACGGCGAGACGCCTCCCGTCGAGGGTCCTGGCACACCTAGGCAGGTTGCCGTCCGTCGCCTGGGCCGCCAAGAGTCACCCCTGAGCTTGGGTGCTGACCCGCTGCTGCCCGAGAGCTCCCCCAGGCCGTCGGTGTCCAGTAAAGAGAAGGAGTCTCCGGGTGGGGCCGATGCCTGCACCCCACCCCGTGTGACGACCCCCGGGGGCCGGACCCTGGAGCGGGATGCCAGCGGCACAAGGCACCAGAGCGTGCAGACAGAGGATGGAGCGGGTGGGGTGGCCAGGGCCGTGGCAAAGGCTGCGCTGAGCCCAGTGCAGGAACACGAGACCGGCAGGCGCAGCAGCTCGGGTGAGGCAGGCACACCTACGGTGCCAATTGTCGTAGAGCCTGTGCGTCCCGGGGCCAAGGCCGGGACCCCCCAGCCTCTTGGTGCAGACTCCAAAGGGTTGCAGGAATCCACATCTCTGGTGCCTCCTGTACCTGAGGTCCCCCGGGGTCGGGAGTGCTGGGTGCTGGAGGTGGTAGAGGAGCGGACCACGCTGAGCGGGCCTCGCTCCAAGCCCACCTCCCCCAAACTCTCTCCAGAACCCCAGACCCCCTCCCTAGCCCCCACAAGGAATGCGCCCAGCACTACAGGGCCCCCAACCCCACCTACTTCCCTCTTGGTCCCAGCTACCAAGGCTGAGGTGGGGCTGACCTCCCGGTGCCCTGCTGAAGCTATACCCCCAGCAGGCCTGACCAAAAAAGGTGCACCCTGCCCCACACCTCCAGGCCCATAGCCAAGGGGGCCGCTGGCCCTGCTCTGTACAGCCACCTGTATACATATGTACACATATAAATAAAGTGTGTCTGTGCTGTGTGAGCTTTCTGGGGCTCACCCCACCTCCCCTGGCGGGGCAAGACATCCTGTTTCTGCCCCTTTGCCTGTGTGCGTCTTGAAGGGTGAAGCTCCAGGTCTGATTACCATAGAGAGAGGAGGTGGGTCTTGGGTGGACCATTCCTTGTGGTCCTGCTTTGGGTCTTGCTTACGCACCAGCTGTCCTCAGAGCTTCAGAGAGAGAAGAAGGGCTGCAGTGTTGTCTGGAGTCCCAGTGTCCACTTGAAGAAAAAAGGTTAACAGCCCCATCCACCAATTTCCTTTTATTTCTCAACAGTCCTGAGTCAGGTGTCATGATTCTCATTTTGCAGGTGAGTAGACTGAGTCACAGGTTAAGGCACATAATTAGGGTCACACAGACATTAAACTGGGGTTCAAGCTGAAGTCCCAATTGGTGTCTGAGCCTTAGCTCTTATATGCTCTGCTGGATTTCCTGGAGAGAAGTTCTGTTCTCCCCACAGGGCTTCCAGGCCTTCACCAGAGGCTGGAAGGCCTTCCAGAGAGCTGGCAGCTGGGCACATAATGTGCCCCCACCCCGGTGCTCCTCTCCAAGGTTCCGATTCATGTCACCCACACAGGCCCAGGGCCCTTCTGGGGCTACACACCACTTGGAGTGGTCTTCTGTGGCACTGAAGGCTGGCCCAGCTGGCCCAGGGAAGGCTATCTGGGTCACGTCCAGCACATGCTGGACCCTGGAGCAGTTGGAGGGTAGGATGCCATGAGAGTTTTGCCAGAATTGGACCTGCAGGTTACTGCCAAGGGCTTCTGCCAACCATCCAGAGTACAGGTCTGTGGAGGATGGAAAAAGGGCATGAGCAGGGTCAGGGTCATTGCTAGGGCCATTTCCCCCTTTCTGAGTTCAGTTTCCTCAGCTGTCAATTCCTAAAAACACAGCGAATGACAACATGAATAACCCTTACCAAATGCTTTATATGCCTCACTTCATTCATAACAATTCTTTAATGTAGATATCAGTATCCCCATTTCTCAGATGGGTTAAACTGAGGCTCTGGTTAAATCACACATCATAGAGCCAGAAACTAATATGTGAACCCAGGTCTGTTGATTGTCTACCTGTCATTTGACTGTAGCTCTCAAAAAAGTCCTAGTCCCTATTCCTGACCTGCCCTTAGCCATGGACACACCAGACATCCCCTCTGCAGAAAAAGAACTTTGCAACCGTCAATTTCCAGACTCACCATCTCCAAATTTTCCATATTTGGCAAAGCTCTGGAAGGTGTCCCCTGCCTTGGATGTGAGTGTTACACTGCTATTCCAAGGGCTGTGGAGAACATGATGACCCTTGACCACGTCCTTCAGGTAGGGGACTTTCTGGGCGAAGTCTGCATCTAGCTTGTGGTCATACACTAGGGGGTAGGTGTAGGTTAGCTGCCGGCCTAGAGGGCAAGGGTGGAGAAAATCAGCGACTATTCCAAATTCTGGCCCCAGGGAATCAGGGATTCACTTTGCCTCCCTGTCCCACTCACCAATCTTCCAGAACTGAGCAAGAGGAAAAGATACACAGAGCAGGGTTTGCCCATAGGTGTGGGCATTAGAAGGCCAGCTGTATGCAGCAGAGGAGGCGGGTGCAGGGAACTGTGGAACGCTGTGGACCAGCCAGAAGCCCCCTTCTTGGTCCAGGAGCAGCACGCCTGAACCAGAAGACAGGGATCAGGAGGGCTGATCAAAGCATTCCGACAGGCACACACGCCACCAAGAACACCCTTCCTTTGCCCTGGGCCTGGGGGTGGGGGTGGGGGGCTGGAGGAGGCGTGAGCAGTGTTAAAACCACTGTTGAGCTCAGTTTCTGCAGCTGTCAATTCTCACAGTCAAGAAGAAAATGTCTTTGTTTGTTTTGAAAAGCAATGTTAATATAAAATGAGGAAGCAGACGTCCAGAGTCCGACAGACCACCCAGCACTCCATCCCCGGGCAGGTCAGGGGTTAGCTGGGAAAGATGCATAGGAACCCCGGAGCCCCAATCCAGAACTCACCCTTTGTGTGCCCCCGGCTGGCGACGAAGTCCTGGGACCCACTGGATTTAGGTGGCTGGTCATTGTATAGCAGGAAGGCGAGCTGGGGGGAGATGGACGGGGCAACTTGAAATCCCCCCCCCCGCCCCCGGGCTGGGCCCTAGAGTCTCATCCCGGGTTCAGCCCTGACGCCCCTTCACCTGGCTGGCGTTCTGGTACAGCGGCAGCAGGCTGCGGCCGACCGCCCCCGCCGAGCTGTTGATGGACCCCGCGCCGTCCCGCCAGCCCCCTGAGTCCTTATCCATGTACTTGTATCGCAGTCCTCTCTGCGCCGCATCCCCGGGCCCGCTCTGGGCTGGCAGTTTGTAGACGACGAACCTGGAAGAAATGGAGGGAGGGGAACAGAGGGAACCCCAGGCTTCACCCAGTCGCGCAGTCTCCCCAGGCCGACCCCGGGGGATGGTGGCCGCATGCGCACTCACCAGTCCACAGGCTGCCCCGAGTCCCCGTAGCAGGTCAGGGTCCCTACAGGGACCCACAGCAGCGCGGCCAGGAGCAGCGGGCTCAGCGTGGCCATGGCGCTTGGGTCGAGGAATCCGTGTTGGGACCCCGGGGCGCCAGGTCACGAGCTGGGGCGGGCCGGTCCCTAGGCGACTTTCACTTCCCTAAACGGGCATGGGAAACCGAGCCGGGACCTCACGAGGATGCAGAGTCCGCCCGCGAAACTAGAAAGTTGAGATTTGAAAGTTAATTTGGGGCGCCCCCCAAGGGGCGGGGCTTCCTTTCTGACCGTCTCTCCCCTCAGGGAACGCCTCCCGCTTGCGCCGGACTCAACCGGATATACCCCGCCGGCCGGGCAGGCCCTGGCCACGCCCACTGTGGTCACGTGCTTTCCCCTGTCCCGCCTCCGACTCCTTTCTCAGCCAATCACATTTCACATCCCTCCGCCAGGCTCCGTCTCGCTCCGCTCGCTCGGCTATAGTCAAACCACTCTTCCGCCAGAGCTCCTCTCCTCGGGCTCGTGGGTCAAATGTGAATTTGGATTTTTTCCTTTCCTGCCTTACAGCCTGAGGCTCAACTCTTGTGCCCTTTGCTTTTCACGCCGCATGTTTTCCTGAGGCCTCCTGAGCTAATCAAGGAGCATTTTGGATCACGTCAGGGTGGAGGGTGCTGGGACTCTGAGGGCCCGGGGTGAGGACTCTTACACCGGGGGAGATGGTTCCGGTGAATGCACCTGGGGTTCAAGACAGGAGACCAGAGCCTCAGTTTAACCCGTCTGAGAAATGGGGATACTGATATCTACATTATAGGTGTGATGGAGAGGGGCATCAAAGCCTGCAGTGTGCTAAGAGGAGTAGCTGAAGTTTAGATGAGGGTGTGAAGGTGTGTACGGCTCCCAACCTTACCCCCGAGGGTAAAGCTTCCTCCCGTCTTCCAGCACCCAAAACCCACAAAATCAGGCCAACGCTGAACCTTTATCTGGGAGAGGCATTGGTACAGGACCCATAACCATTCACAACAGATCCAGCCACTATGCAGAACTTCATTAATCACGGTGTGAAAACCCCTTTCTAGGCCAAGGGTCTCTGGGAAACCTCACCCCACAACCACTCCCACTGCCCAGGGCCTCTTGTAAGCTGGTCTGAGGGTCCAGCTCTCTGAGAGTCTGTCCCTCTGTCCAAAATGTCTGAGTGTCCAAATGACTCCGTTTATTTGGAGGTCTGTCTCGCTGTGTCTGTGTGGCCACTGGATGTCTCTGTGTAGCTCCCCGTGGCTGAAGACGTGTGGGAGCTTCAAGTATCTCTATGGGCCAGTCCTTGATCTTTGGGTGGATCTATGGGACCATGAATCCGGGAGAGGGTCCATCCAAGGGAACACCACCCTGTGTGATCTGCTTTTGTTCCATCCCCAATCCCCAGGAAGAGTCCAAGTGTTGGGGCAGTGCTCAAAGATGACGCTTCATGTGCAAGGCCAGGTGATCGGAGCGTGAAAAAGCGCGCGGGCAGAGCTGGCAGCGGAAGGGGCGCTGTCCTGTGTGCTTCCTGTAGTGGCGGGTCAGTTCGTCTGAGCGTGCGAACCTCCAGCCACAGCCGTCCCATGTGCAGGCATAGGGCTTCTCCCCTGGGGGTTGGGGGGTGACAAGCAAGCTGTGAGCCACTGTCCGCCCCACCCCTCCCCTGGGCTGCTTCTGCATCTGGCCACACTCCTTTACTCAGCCTTGGTCGGTACTAGGATGAGGCAAGTAAGGCGCCTAGCGCTCAAAATGTAGGGAGGCGCTCACTCTCACTGGAGGGCTCTGATTCTGCACCCACTCCGGCCTCTGCGATCCCGACCCTTCTTCTGTACCTGCATTTGGCGCCAAACCCGTTCTCAGTTCCTGGACCCAAGTCCTGTCCCCTACCCCACTGGCCTCATTTTCTGTGCCCTATTACCCTGCCCCTGAGTCCTAAAGCCATCCCCACCTTATCCTTTGACTCTGGCTCCCTGTGTTCCAGCGCCTGCCTTGTACCAGCGGACCCTCCAGCTGCTGCCCAATTCTGCCTCCCACCCCCCCTTGGCCCTGTCCCCGGTGATTGTTCTCTCTCCCGGCTACTCCTGGCCTCTCCCCCTGCACTTCTGCACAGGAGGGTACACATGGCCCTTGCCCTCTGTGCTGGCCCTACCCTCCGTGGGGACTCCTAAACTTAGGCCTGACCCTTCCTCCTCCTTGCCTCTATTCCACAGGATCCTTGGGACCCGGCTTCTCCTAGGCCCACCCTCCTTTCCCAGCTATTCCCTCTATCCTCTTGGACCCGCCGCCCTATCTGGGCTCCAGAAACGGGCTCTGGCCCCGCCTCCCTTCTTGAGTGCTGCCACGCCCCCTACGGCCTGGCTCCGCCTCCCCGGCAAGCAACTCAACGCTTTACACTCCAGGCTCCTAACTCTGTCTCTGCAAGCCCAGGACCCGAACCCTCTGTCTTTGGCTCCATCTCTGGCATTCCAAGCCTGTCCCCTCTCCGCGGCCCGCCCCCTTTGTCACTTGCCAGGCTTTCTGCTCTTTGGCCCTTCCCCTGCCCAGATCTCACCCGTCGGCTCCCGGAGACGCTCCTCAGATTCCCCAGGTTGTCTCCGTGCTACCCCCGCCCCGCCTCCCTCAATGCTGCCTGCTGCCGAGGTCCCAGGCCGGCTCCGAGCATCCTCTGCCCCGCCCGTGGCTCCAAAACTCCGCCTTAGCCCCCCACTTGCTCGGGTTTTCCAGCTTCCCAGCCATTCTCTGCTCCTGAGGCCCATTCCCCGGCCCGGTCCTCGCGCCCTCACCTGTGTGCGTGCGCAGATGAGCCTTCAGGTGTGAGCTCTTGGTGTAGCTCTTCCCACAGCCCGGGTGCGTGCAAGTGTGTGCCGCCTGCCTCTTGCGCGCCCACGATCGCCGGCTGCGTTTAGACGGTGCGGCGTCCGCGACCCCTCCTGGGTCTCCTGCGGTCCCCCGGAGTCCCGAACCCGCCGTCCCGGGTCCCAGACAACTCAGGAAAGAGGGGGGTGATGTGGGGCCGGGCGCAGGCGCTGGGAGCCCGCGGAAGAGCTGGAAGTGCCCTTGGTACTGTGGCACCGGGTACAGCGGTGGGTACCCGGGCAGCAGCCCGTAGGGGGCGCCCGGCGCCGTGGGCACCGAAAGCCCTGTCCGCGAGAAGTAGCTGCCGGAGGAGCCCGCACCTGGCCCCGGGTACACGGGCTGCAGCGGCAATGGCTTGGGCTCGGGGGCTGGGCCCAGGGCTGAGCCCACGAAGGCGTCCGGGACCGGGGCTCTAGGGGCCGGCCGCGCCCAGCCCGGGTGCTCCTCGGGACCTAAGAGCCCAGCCACCAGCCCCGGGCCGCCCACGTACGGGCAGGGAGTCTCGGGCGCTGGCGGCGGCGGCAGCGGCGGCGGCGGGAACTGCACCCCGGAGCACTCGCCTGGCGCCAAAGCGCAGGTTTGGGGCGCACCGCCCGGCTCGGGACACGGGAAGTTGGTGAGCAGGAGATCCAGATCCCAGGCGGTGGCCGAGTCCCTGTCGTCGTCTTCGTCCTCCCTGGGCGCGTCCTGCGACTCTGGCCTCACGTGGAGGGGCAGCCCGGTGGGATCAGGGGGACCCGGACCCAAGTCCTGCACCTCCTCAGAGCGCCACCACTGGGGAAGGAGTGGTAGCGTGAGGCTTTGGTGGACACCGAGGTACCCCGCCCAGAGTTGGGGGGTGCTGGATGCCCTGATGGGGGCAGGCTGGCCAGAGGCTCTGGAAAGGGGTCCTGCTTGCTTGTCTGTCCCCTTGCCTTACAATGCACACTCCCCCCAGCACCCCCAAGTCCAGGGCCAGAGGTGGATGGGTCTGGCTGGAGACCCAAGATAAGACTAACATTATCTGGAGCCACACTCAGGCATGGGGGAAGGGGTGGCAGAGCTAGGCATGGAAGGCTGGGGGAGGGGGGGGTGCAGCCTTGCCTCAGTTTCCCTCCAGACTCTCCCTCTTCTTCCCTGTCACCCCCAAAAATTAATTCCCAAGATTGATTCCTGGATTTGCTGTTTCCCCCTGGTAACCGGGGTTGTCTCACTGTGGACTGCTGCAGGGTTCAGCTTCAAACCTCAGGTTTTTAATTTTTCTTTTCTTTTTTAAACTAGGCTCTATGGCCCAAATGGGGCTTGAACTCACGATCCTGAGATCAAGAGTTGCATGTCCTACCCACTGAGCCAGCCAGGTGCCCCTCCAAGCCTCAGTTTTATATGACAGAAGTAGGTCCTTAGACCAGGTTCAGACCCCTGGCCTGGCCTGAGGACCCCCAGCCTTAGATAAGATGCAGAGTAAGATGAGGACTAGACCCCCCCTAAGCTCTACCCACAGCCCAGGACCCCAGCCAGCCCACCTACACCCCGCCTGGCCCCACCTTGAGAAAGTCTTCCTGTGTGTCCGGGAAGGGGCCCAGGGTGGTCAGCGTGCTGATGGAGGGCAAGGCGGTCTCAGCTGTGGCCATGGCTGGCTGGTGCCCACCCTGGGCCTCAGACCTCCTCTCCCTCCGTGGCCTCGTGGGCTCTGAGACACCAATGGCCCCTCAGAGGGCTCCTCTCTGCCCTCAGCTGATTGGCTGCAGCCCCTGATAAGAGGCAGGCAAGGCGGGGGGGGTCACCATTTTGGGAGAAGAGACCTCATCTCAGCCTGTTTAGGGGCTGGGCTTTAAGGACTGACCCTGTATCTAAAGCCAAGTCAGATGTTCAGGGGCTGGGGGTTCAGAGGTTGAGGGTTCAGGTGTTGGGTAAAGTGAGGTACTGAGTCGCCACAGAAGGAGAAACTTGGGGCCTACTCTTAGTTACCTTTCTGTAGAAGGGGCGACAGACAGAATGGGGGTCCTGGGAAGGGGCTTTGATACCCCCTTTCCTGTGACCGGGGCCCTGTAGCTCTCCCCCTCCCCAATAAACAGCAGCAACCATGCTGATGGCGGGGCTTGGCATGAAGTCCCTGCCAAGCCAAGCATTATCAGACACCCCAGATGTTGTAAGCTGCTATCAGGTGGAGGCCCAGAACAGCCAAAGCTCTGTTCCCGACGAGTGGGAGGGTTGGGGGCTGGGGCTTCATGTTAGGTTGGTTTGAAATTGCCTGGGTTGTGAGTTCTCAGGGTCTGAGCTTAGTGCCGGGGGGAGCCCCTCCCAATCAGGCACTGCTGTCTGCCACGGCCCCTCTGGGTGAGGCTTGTGTGGAGCTGGAGGCTGCCGTGACCACAGTTGCTCCGGTGTGATGGGGCTGGGGCAGGGGAAGTGACCCCCTCTCCTGGGTGAAATGGCATGGTTGGATCAGGCCACAGGAAGTACATGATGATGTGCAGGAGACCCTCCCCAACCCCTGCTCTGGGCCTGGCTGCTGTTTGACTTCTGTTCCCCATGGGGGAGGAATCCAAGGTTCTACACCAGGGACCACTGTTTTACCGTGGGAGCCTGGGTGGATGATACGGACACATATCATACATACATAGTTCACAGTCATATCCACACACAATAGGCAGTTACACAGTAACACGGATTCCTGGCCCCTGAGTCACACAGACCATATAGTCCCTGCACATGGAATTGTGTATCTATATAATATAGACCACGCACAGACACACAACTTCCAGGCACAAAGACACAGCTATCCACTACATTGGTTACACAATGACATAGTCACACAATCTCTCAGACATAGAATTCATAATCACACAGACAGGTACTGACAGCATCACACACTGTCACATAAACGCACACAATCACATTGACGTGATTTAGCCACAACCGAACAGACACACAGAGACACTTGGATATGTTGTCACTAAACTATAGAAGATGTAGTTACACAATTCCCATGAAACACAGATGTTGCCTCCACACACAAAAGCATGAAACACAGCAGCACACAGCCGCTCACAAACACAGAATGATGTAGTAATGCACACAGCTATACATATACATCAGACTCAACCATACACGGCACCTCATAAAACCTACAACCCTACATATTCACACCACCTGTTACTGTCACAGTTTGTAATTAGTCATGACTGCACAGCTACCAATGCCCAATCATCGGGCCCACATCCAGTTAAAGACAGACAACCATTGCCAACATGGAATCAAACACTCCAATAGTGAAAAGCACACAATGCTGCCCAGACATAGACACATCACCACAGATGCACAATCAGAATTGGTGCCTCACAAACGCATCACACAAAAAAAGGCAAAATATTATCATGTGCCACAAAGGGAGGGGGTAGCAAGTAATATAAAAGCCAGCTCAATGCACCCACTAAGATGGCCATATGTAGAGAAATTGGAACCCTGTAAGCTCCTGGTGGGAATGTAAAATGCAGCTACTGTGGAAAAGTTTGATGATTCTTCAAAAAGTTAAACAATAAAAAATTTGGACAAGAGTTACCAGCAACTCCACTCCTAGGTATATACCCTAAAGAATTGAAAACAGGTATTCAGGGCAGCTCTGGTGGCTTAGTGGTTTAGTGCCACCTTCAGCCCGGGCGTGATCCTGGAGACCCAGGATCGAATCCCACAGCAGGCTCCATGCAGGGAGCCTCTGCCTCTCTCTCTCATGAATAGACAAATAAACTCTCTTAAAAAAAGAAAAGAAAACAGGTATTCAAACAAATACTTGTATGCTGAGTTCACAGCAGTATTAGTTACAATAGTCAAGAGGTAGAAACAATCCAAATGTCCATGAACAAATGAATGGATAAACAAAATGTGGTCCATCCATACAGTGAAATATTATTCAGCCAGGAAAAGGAATGAAGCTTTAAATACATAATCACGTGGGTGAACCTCAAAAACATGCTATGTGAAATAAGCCAATCATAAGAGATCATACATATGATTTTAGTTAATATCCAGGCAAATCCACACAGACGAAAGGATTAGTGGTTTCCAGGAGCAGTGGGAGGAAGAATGAGGAATGACTGCTGATTGGCACAAGGTCTCCTTTTAGGGTGATGGAAATGTTCTGGAACTAGATAGAAGAAGTGGTGGCACAACATTGTGTATGTGCTAAATGCCACTGAATTGTTCACTTTAAAATGGTTTATTTATGTTATGTGAATTTTGCCTCGATAAAACAATCGGCTGGAATTAGTGGGTTCCTGGAGAGGAAAGCAGAGTCTCTCTTGGGAAGAGATCTCCTTGGTTTAGGATGAGGCACTAAACAGGCATTTGTGGCTCTAAAATGTGCGGCACGAAGATAAAGGTCCAGACAGAGGCAGGGCATGTGGCTGGGACATGTGCCCCCTAAGAGGATGTGGCCAGGAGGGATGACAGACTTCCCAGGGAGGCAAGGCCTGAACCTCAGTTTGGGTTTCCCGATGGACATCATCCTCTGACACCCACAGCAGCTTCAGGGTAGGGAGCTTTGGGGAAAGGAAGAGGAGAGGGGAGGGAAGAGCCCACTGGCTGCAGGAGGAGGGAGGTGACCAGAAGAATGAGAGCCACGCAGAATCAGGGACATTTCAGTTAGGTGATGGGCTCCCTGATGTGTGAGGAGGGTTCGAACTGTTTTATTTGGACATTACGGGCAAGGACGGCCCAGAAAGTAGGAAGGTCTAGAGACACCCAGTCCTCAGGCACTTGGGGGTATGCAGGCCAGTGATCACCTTTAGACACAATCCCACTGTTACTCCCGTCATACTCATTCAGAGATGGTGTGAGGTAGAGCATGATACACATACAATTAGCCAGAATGTTGATGTGGGAAGACGTGTTCCTGGTGGGCAGGGAGGGTCTGGCTTGGAGACCAGGAGGCCTGGATCCTAATACAGATCCCTGCTCTGCACTTGGCCTACTGTAACCTTGAGCAAGATCATTCTGCTTTCTGGGCCTTACTTACCCCACCTGGAAAAAGGCCATGTCATGGCAGAAATAGGCCTTTTAGATACAGAGATGGTCAGGAACAGTGCACCCAAATTCAAATGCACATCACACAAACGCTCATCAAAGTGACCTAGGTGAGTCTAGCCACTCACTCAGGCATATGTTCATGTCACACTCACAGTCACCACAGGTGCACATAGATCAAATCACACTGACACGTGTACGTACACAACCTCACAGACATACACACAAATATTGGTCAAGTTGTCACAAAAATAATAGGCACGCCTAGGGAGAGAACTATCAGAACACAGAATTAGGGGCACCTTGGTGGCTCAGTGGTTGAGCCTCTGCCTCTGGCTCAGGTCGAGATCCCAGGATCCTGGGATGGAGTCCCACATCAGGCTCCCCGCAGGGAGCCTGCTTCTCCCTCTGCCTATTTCTCTGTTTCTCTCTGTGTGTCTCTTGTGAATAAATTAATAAATCTTAAAAAAAAAACAAAGAAACAAAAAAGAACACAGAATCATACATACAGACACACGATCACACGGAATACCATTACACAGGCTTACAACCACACAGACAAGAAACCACAAAAACATTCAGGCACACAGCCACTGTCACAGTTGCAGTGGCACACGACCACCCACAGTCAACCGCCCCACAAAGTCATAGGCGCACCCACATACAGATACATAGTCAGATACAATCACACACATAGATGCAAGAAGCACAGCCCAAGCAAATCACTCCAAGTCACACACACCGTGGCTACACGTGCTTCCTGGGACAGGCTGGCAGAGGTGGGGCTGAGATCGCCCCCAGGAGCCCGCCTGCCCCCTACCTCCCGGCCGCTCACAGCACCCATTAGGGGAGACATCAAGGTCTGGACTCATGGCTTCCAGGACTCATGTTTCTTGTGCCTCAGTTTCCTCATTTTACTGCAGAATTCCCTGCACACGCCCCCTGCAACGGACCAATCAAGAGTGGGCCGAGCCCCCTGCTAGGGCCAATCCGAATGGGAACACAGCCGGCCAATTGGCTTGGCGCACTCGCCTTCCGCCCCTTCCCTGGTCTGCTTCTTAAAGCAGCTAACAGGCCTTGGCCCGGGCGCTGCCGTCTCCACCGGCGAGGCTGCCGTGGCCCTTTTAAAAGGCAGAGCCGTGGAGGAGTCGGTCCTAGCACACGCCAATGAGAAGCCCCATTCGGCATCCGCCCCTCCCACCCCCAGAGGTCAAAAGATTTTGCCAGTTGTACCGTGGACTGTACCGTGAGCCTGGAGGCGCCAGGTTAGCACGGGTGAGTGGGGTCGGGGGCCGGGCGGTGGCAGCCACTCCGCTGACGCCCCTGCTCCTCCAGGTTGGCCGTGGTTGCTCCGCTTGCCCGCCCGCTGCCCACATGGCCCTGAGAAGGGTCCCCGAGCGGCTGCTGAGCCGTGGACCAGGCCTGAGCTTCCTGCGCGGGTGGGGCTCGGCGGCGGCGCAGACTGGTCAGTGCCCGGTCGGGGGCAGGGTGGGGAGGGTGGAATTGGAGGTTCGGGGGCTTTTCCGGGATGACTTTCCCATCCTGTGTTTGCAGAAAAGGGCGGGAAGACACTGAACCGAGCGACTAAGGGTAAGGACCCTCCTTGCGTCGGGTGTCTGCGGCCCTTGTCCAACTGTCTGTCTCCCCGGGGTGGGCTCTGTCCCGGAATCCGAGGGCTGCCCTGGAGGGAGGCAGGGCGTGGCTAGGGCCGAGGCAGTGAGTTTCCCGGAGATAAGCTCACATCCACCGGGAGCCAGGTGGAGCCGGGAGCGGGGCTGAGGATTCCAGAAGAGGAGGGTGCGGTGGTAGGGTGGCCGGGCCCAGTTAAGCCTCCTCCCGCTCTCTGCTCTGCGTCCCAGCCTCGCGTCCTGAATTTGACTGGAGGGACCCGCTGGTACTGGAGGAGCAGCTGACAGCGGATGAGATCCTCATCAGGGACACCTTCCGCACCTACTGCCAGGAGCGCCTCATGCCCCGAATCCTGCTGGCTAATCGCAACGAAGGTGCTCATGCCAGTGGGCGGGTGCTCCCACCCTGCGCACCAGCTCTGCCTGCTTTAGCTGAGCCCCTGGCCCCCTCTGTCCCTGGGATGGGGTTCCAGGGGGGCCAGGGCTGGGCCTGAGTTTGGGCATCCATCTTTTGCAGTTTTTCACCGGGAGATCATCTCAGAGATGGGGGAGCTTGGTGTGCTGGGCCCCACCATCAAAGGTAGGGACAGGTTTGTCTCCACACTCTGCAGTCCCCACTGTGGCCTGGAAAGCCCCCTCTCATCCCTGAGCTTGAGTTTCCCAGTCTGCAAAGCGAGGCTGTTATTCCTCCATCTGAGAGTGGCTGTGAGGACAAATTAATAAACCCACAAACTAGGGTTAATAAACCCTCCCCGGGCACCCCTACGTAGCTTTGTCTCTTGGGCCCCAGGAATCACACTGGTCCAAGCTGGGCAGGGCTTTGTCTCCCATTGCCCCATCTTCCTTCTCCCTCCCCGTCACCAGGGTATGGCTGTGCTGGAGTCTCATCTGTGGCCTATGGGCTCCTAGCCCGAGAGCTGGAGCGAGTGGATAGCGGCTATAGGTCAGCAATGAGCGTCCAGTCTTCCCTCGTCATGCACCCCATCTACGCCTACGGCAGCAAGGAGCAACAGCAGAAGTATCTGCCCCGGCTGGGTGAGCAGTTGCCACGGAGTCTGGTGGAAGGAAGATTGTGTCAGGGGTCTGGAACTTAGGAATGGGACTGTCCCCAGTGCCTGCAGAACTTCTGTCCCTACCTGAAAGATACCCAATGGCTACCCAGATCCCCTGCCAGACCATGGGCCTCACCCCTGCATCTGATCCTGACTGTCCCCTCCTAGGTCTGTCTAGACTCTGCCCACTTCTTACCACCATCATCTCACTTGCTTTCTGTGCTGCCCCTTCCCAGCCCAAAGTTTAAAGTCTTAATTTCCTGATGGTCCACAAGACCCCACATGAGTAGCCTGGCCTCTGCTGACCATTCCACCTCATCTATGGCCATTCTCCTGACTGCTCCTCCTTAGCAGTCAAGAATTCTCCGAAAGTACCACTGTGCCTTTGCACATCTCTGCCTCTCTGGGAGCACTCTTCTCCACTCTTCCTCCTCCTGCTTAGCTCCTTTTCACTGCCTTCAAGACAGATTATCTCTTTCCTGACTCCTACGGGGCCTCTCCCCATCGTGGCATTGTTACTGTGGCCTGGTGGGGGGGGGTGGCTGTCCCCACATACCACCATCACCTGAGAGTGCCATGAGAGCAGAGTTGGGACTGCCTTTGGCCTCGCTCAGTGGAGAGGCTGACAATTTTGAGGGGATGGGTGAGGGACAGGGAGTCTTGTGACCCTGTATTGTTCCTGCAGCCAAAGGGGAGCTCCTGGGCTGCTTCGGGCTCACAGAGCCCAACCATGGGAGTGACCCTGGCAGCATGGAGACCAGAGCCCGCCACAACCCATCCAACAGGAGCTACACCCTCAACGGGACCAAGACTTGGTGAGGGGCCTGGTGTCTCAGGCAGGTGGGCAGGGGCAAGGGGGAGGTGGCCAGACCCTCACTGTCTGTCCCTCCCCCAGGATCACCAATGCACCTGTGGCCGACCTGTTTGTAGTATGGGCCCGGTGTGAAGATCGCTCCATTCGGGGCTTCTTGCTGGAGAAGGGGATGCGGGGCCTCTCAGCCCCCAAGATTGAGGGCAAGTTCTCCTTGCGCGCCTCATCCACGGGGATGATTGTCATGGACGGTGTGGAGGTGCCGGAGGAGAATGTGCTGCCTGACGTATCTGGTCTGGCGGTGAGCAGCAGCCACCTTGGGAAGTGGTATCACTCACCAGCTGGTTCAACTTTCTAGGGCAGGGACCATGCTGGGGGCCCAGCTGGGAAACAGACACAGTCCCTGTGCTTGCAGAGCCCACACACGAACGATTCTGAGAGGTCCTGTTTGGCTCACTGATGTTTGGAAATTGCCCCTTTTTGGTGACCATTTTGCTCATACTGGCTCTGCCAAGGACACATACGGGCCTGAGCCAATTTAATTCTTTGATGCATGTACATCTTTGTCTCCTTACATCATCCCCTAGATCTGAGCATCTAGCTCAGATCCTGGGCTGGGTAAAACTGTATATGCATGAGCTTTGGTGCCAGGACCATGTGTGGTTGAAACGGCTGCCCCGAATCCCTCTGTTTAAATTGACTTCGTGTCTGGGGAAGGGGGTTTCCTTTATGTAGATTAGTTCTGCATGGGACCTCTCAGCTTCCGGCTGGGGCTGAGGCCTCTCTAACTTTACAGGGGCCCTTTGGCTGCCTGAACAATGCCCGGTTTGGCATCGCTTGGGGTGTGCTTGGAGCTGCTGAATTCTGCTTGCACACGGCCCGGCAGTACACTCTGGATAGGTATGTGGGGCTGCCATGAGAGTTGGAGGTATGGGGGCAACATGGGCTCCATCCCTAACCCCTACCAGTGACTCCTCATCCCCTGCCTACCAGACTTAAATTCCACACTGGGTGAAATGGCCTGGGAAGTTCTTCTGAACAGTGAGGGCCTGAGTGCTCAGTGACATTGGTAACACTGAGCAGTAACAGGGCCAGGGTGAACTCGGTGAGGGCCCAGGCAGCCTAGGAAGGCCTCCAGGACTGGGGAGTGAACATCACTACACTTACCCTGAACTTGCCCACCTAGGATCCAGTTTGGTGCCCCACTGGCCAGGAACCAGCTGATTCAGAAGAAGCTGGCAGACATGCTCACTGAGATCACGCTGGGCCTTCATGCCTGCCTACAGCTTGGCCGCTTAAAGGATCAAGACAAGTAAGGGTTGTGTGTTGGGGGAGCAGGGCATAGGCAGCAAGGACATGGTGGTGGCTGTTCCTGGGGACCAGGAGAGGAAGGTCTTTTGTGCCTGGTGGCCCCTGGGGACCTATGCCTTCTTTCCCTCTTGGCCTCGATGGGACAGGACTGCTTGCTTATCCCTTACTGGGAGCTCAGTGTCTGCTGCTAGGACTAGAACTTGGGGAATCGTCTCCCCTGGCTGGGTTTACCTGGGGCTTAGGGATGCCTGGGGTCAGTTCTTTGTGTGAGCCCATACTTGTTACATGCCTGTGCCATTCCCAGGGCCACTCCAGAAATGGTCTCCCTGCTGAAGAGGAATAACTGTGGGAAGGCCCTGGATATCGCCCGCCAGGCCCGAGACATACTGGGGGGGAATGGGATTTCTGATGAGTATCATGTGATCCGGCATGCCATGAACCTGGAGGCTGTGAACACCTATGAAGGTAGGGGCTGGGTCTCTGGGGGGAGGAGTGTCACAGTGGCCTCACTGTCTAAAGAAGAAGGGTGGGGACAGCAGGCCTGAATCCTCCCAGCTGTCATCACTGGTGACCTGGGGCAAGTCCTACCCTGTGTTCATCTGGAGTGGCTCACACAGGGACTGTGGAAGTGAAATGCTCTCAGCCCTTTCCCCCATGGTGCTCAGGTGGAGGGGTGCTCCCTAAACTGTTTTATGATCTCCTCGGGCATCCCCAGAATGGGGCACGATGCCTAGTGAGCTGGTGGATGCTAGGAAGCAAGAGCGCAGCTACACACAGGAATCACCACTCCATTTTATGTTAAGAGAAAAAAGACAAATCATTGTCAGGCTGTAGTGCCTACATCTGGCAACTGGATATAATCGCATTGGACCTAGAACACCTTTCCTTGTGGGAAGATACATGGAAAAAGATTATTTGAAAAAAAGTACAATCTAGTATGAGCCAGGCAGAGATGTAAAAAGGTACAAGTGCTCATCTTGAGAAGAAAGTGGGACCAGGTTAGGCCTGAAGGGAAGTGTAGCTCCCTGGGCAAAGACAGTGAAGTAGCTTCTGTGTGCTATTCTAGATGGACATTCCAGAAACAGCAAGAGGGAAGGTTGGGGTTGGGGTGATCCTACAGGTGTGGGGATGACCCTGAGGACAAGCAGAGCCTTCAGGGAGTTTTATGCAGGGGAGGGATGGGGTCAGATTTGCACTTTAGTAAGTAAACGTAATTGTTTTGCTCCATAAAAGGGAAGCAGTAACCTTTGCCTTCCACCCTGTTAAGCTGAGAAAGAGCAAATGAGAACACCGATGGCTCTAAAATGTTACCCAGACTTGACAGCATGGGATGTGGTATGTGGGGTGGTGGCTTTAGGATGGGGAGATCAGCTGGGACAAGCAATTTATCTGATGTCTGTGTTCCCATCCCTCTTGTAGGTAAGAAAGGGCCTGACATATCTCCACAGAGCTCATCAGCTTTCTCAGCCTCTGTGTGAAAGAAGCATGAACGGGGTTGAAAATTAAACATTTAACCAACTGTGCAGGGTGGGGTGGAGTGAATTTGCCAAGTATGGGGAACACCAAAGCTGGGGCCATGGCCAGGGCTGGACTTGCTGAAGTTTTGGGTGTAGCACAAGGACTTTTTTCCCCCCCGAGATGCATTATAGAACTGTGAAAAACAATTTTCTCAGTGTGGCCTGAACGGTGGCCTCTGATCCTTCTCTTGGTTGCTGTCACTAAGAGGGGCCTCTCCCAGTAGCTGTCAGCAGTCGCCATCTTTGTGGGTCTGATCTTCCAAAGTAGTAGCCTAGGGGGAAGAGGGACATGAAAATTGACTTTAAAGGGAAGTTGTGAGCTGTTCTGACTTCAGGCCATCTCTGTATTTATCTTGTCCAGGCACTCATGACATTCATGCTCTGATCCTTGGAAGGGCAATCACAGGGATCCAGGCGTTCACGGCCAGCAAGTGAGCATACTTCACCCAGGAGCCCAGATGGTCTCAAGCTCATTCCCAGGGAAATGCTGTGCTCTGAGCTTACTCAGGGAGGTGGCAGATGGAGCCAATTTTTATAGTGGGAAGTGAGAGACACTGATTCTTAATTATCAAAAATTTCCCTTTGAAGTCATTCAAATGTGTTCCTTAAAAAAGAAGATGGGACTCTCTGTACCAAGTTCCTCAACCCACTTTTAACCATGGACGGGAATGGATTCCACTTATCTTGGAACAGAAGCTTCTCTTGACGGGGGGGGGGGGGGGGGGGGGGGGGGGGGGCAGGAAGAAGGAAGGAGAGTGACGTGGAAGGAACCTCTGGTGTCTGAGCAAATCCCCCCGATACCAAGAGTTCACTGTGTGCCCTCTGACCCTTCCATCCTGAGGGTAAGTGCCTTATGCTGGATGTTAGAGCAAAATGAGAGTGAAAGAGAGAATAAAGTCTGTATGTCTGACCTCAAGGTGTTGGGGCACATTTAATTGTAACCACCCAAAAGATCATTTCCGTCACAGGAAAAATGTGGGGACTGTGAGGTAATTGGGCGTATGGCAGGGATTTCCCCACAAGTGGTCTGGCCTGGGTTGGAGTCTTGGGCTCTGCTCCAATAACCCTGGTCAGACACTGACCAGGGCTCAGGCCTGTAGACAGAGGGGCCCTTGTCCTTTCTGTCACCACAGGGCTGACCACACAGTGGTAGGAAATAACAATTATCTAGCTCCTCAGCTCAGACACACCACCTCAGAGGGAGCCCAGGGCCACAGGTGAGATGTCAAGAGCATCAAGGGTTTTGCAGTGATAGTGGCCCCTATGGGGTTTAGGCTGGGCACGATGCTAACATCCTTGGTTTGTGTGGACATTTACTTTCATCTTAGCCACCATGCCTCACCTTCCTCAGGTGGCACCCGCATGCATGAGTTTAGTCATACCTCGGGTTGGATGCACAGATCTTTGTACACTGTCTCCACGGTGTGGCACACTTGTTTGAGCTCTGTTTCCAAATGGCTGATCTTTGCCATTTTCTGGGTGAACTCTTGGAGCTTGTCTTGAATGATCTTGTTATGGTGATTATAAATCTGATACATCCTCTCCTCTAGCTTCTCTGTCAGGTCTGAAACCTTTTAAAGAATAAAGCAAGTTCTTAGAAAATCAAACAAATATCAAATAACATATTTGTTTTAAGTGGCTAGTATTTCTGCAATTTATTTTATAAAAATGGTAAGAACAATGCCAGTGACTGGAAGTGAAACTGCCTATATATTCAGTTTTTTTTTAAAGGAAGATGCAAAATTATGTATGTGGTACAGGCTCAAACAGGAAGAAAATATGCAATGGAAACTAAGAAAACATGTGACAAAGTAGTTGCTGGATAGTGAGATCATAGGAATGTTTTCTATTTTTTTCTGCTATGTTATATTCTTCTCTACTTTCTAAATTTTCTGTTATGTACCAGGGTATGTGCTGGTAGGGATGGGAGGAGGGAAAAGGGAAAAAAAAAGTCAGCCTGTCATTGAGAGATGCATGACATGTGTCTCCCATGTGACCAACAAGCTGTCCCACTCACAGGACTCAGTGCATTCTGAAGAAGCATCAAGGATGATCATTAATGTTGGACCTGAACATCACATCAGGCTTTGTTAGACTCTTAAGGCCCAGCCATGTCAAGGGAACCCTAATCTCCCATCACAAACCATTCCACTTTTTTTTTTTTAAAGATTTTTAAGTAATCTCTACACCCCACACAAGGCTCAAACTTACAACCCTGAGATCAGGAGTTGCATGCTCTACTAGGTGAGCCAGCCAGGCACCCCCAAAACAATTCAACCTCTGAAGGACAAATGGGTGTGACAATGCAGGCTGTGCCTTGGCCCCTACTCCATTGGCCATTAGCCTTGGCATGAAATAAGAGGGCTAGGCTGCAAGTGCAGATGGACCTTCGTTCCTCCTCCTGGCTCCTTCATTTGGGCAAATCGTTTCCAAACCTTACTCTACCATCTATAAAATGGGCCTGATCTCTGGGCAGGATTGCTGTAAGGGGGAAATGAGGTGCTACTTGCAGGTTGCCGAGAATCTGAAAGACACTCAGCAGCAGCTTCATTCCCTCCCCTCTCACCCTTTACACAGGACTCCTTCCCCTGCCCACTGGGGCTTTGCAGTGTATGGGGGAATCTGTCACCTTGATCTTGAGGCTGTCCCTGAAGTTGGTCATGAGTGCGTGGTCTTTCTGCCTGCTCTCATTGATGTTTTCAATCAGTTCCTGGGCCCTCTTCTTCAGGATGTCGATGCTTGAGTCCAGAGAGGAAAAGCAGGATCCTGACTTCCCTTCTAGCATCATCAGCTGGCGGTTGGCACTGGAGGTGGCGATAGAGGGGCTAGAAACCTGACTTCTGAAAGTACAGGAAACTGAGGTCAACACCAAACTCTCCTGAGAGTGCTGACCTGAATTAGCTCTATGGTGGGAGGGGAGCCAGTGTTGTGTGTCTCCTGTGGGTGATGCTTGCTTATTTCATTCACACACTGAGAGGCAGGGACAGCAACCCCATTTTGCAACTGGGGAAACAGATCCAGGAGTGCAAACAAAATCCACCTAAGGTTCCAGAACAGGGGGATCTGCTGGACTCCAAAGCCCACTGTCATTTTTATTACACCAAGTTGCTGCCTTGAAATGAAAGTCAGTTATACTATTTAGTTTATCAACAACTATAGGTTGGAGCAAAGATTGTAAACAACTAGAGGGATTCTGCATAGAGATTCCTTTGTCGAGACCTGTAAGTTTTCACTCTGGTTTAAAAACAAGTGGAAGGGGATCGCTGGGTGGCTCAGCTGTTTAGCGCCTGCCTTTGGCCCTGGGCATGATCCAAGAGTCCTGAGATCGAGTTCTGCATTGGGTTCCCTGCGTGGAGCCTGCTTCTCCCTCTGCCTGTGTCTCTGCCTCTCTCTCTCTCTCTCTGTGTGTGTCTCTCCTGAATAAATAAAAACTTAAAAAATTTTTCAAAAAAAAAAAAAAAAAACAAGTGGAGGGGTGCCTGGCTGCCTCAGTTGGTAGAGCATGTGACTCTTGATCTTGGGGTCTTGAGTTCAAAACACACATTAGGCGTAGAGCCTACTTTAAATAAATAAATAAATAAATAAATAAATAAATAAATAAATAAAATAAATAAATAAAATATTTGAAAACAAAGAAGTGGAAATTATGCATAATGTGTTATGAATGAAGTTTATGCAAAGAAAAAGTTGCAATCTGATTAGCAGACCCTTTGGTGTTTAAAATTAAGATAAAATGGGGATCCCAGGGTGGCGCAGCTGTTTAGCGCCTGCCTTTGGCCCAAGGCGCGATCCTGGAGACCCGGGATCGAATCCCACATCGGGCTCCCGGTGCATGGAGCCTGCTTCTCCCTCTGCCTGTGTCTCTGCCCCCTCTCTCTCCTCTCTCTCTCTCTCTGTGACTATCATAAATAAATAAAAATTAAAAAAAAGATAAAATGTTTAAGGTATTTTTTTCCTTCCTTCCTTCCTTCCTTCCTTCCTTCCTTCCTTCCTTCCTTCCTTCCTTCCTTCTTTCTCTTTCTTTTCTGTACCTTGCTTTATCTGATCTGTAAACACTTTCCATCTGTCAGGCTCCATGCTAACCTGCACAGGTTGTCTTGCTGCAACCTCTTGACCATGTTTTGGGGTTGGTCCACTCATCATCTTTACCTACCTTGTAGCTGAGGATGCAGGGTCAGTGTGTCGCTCTGAGGGTCACTGGCTGGGGTCAGGCAGAGCTGGGTGTGGCACCCAGCTGGCCTGACTCCCCAACCCATGTCCTGCTGCTCCTGGGTCCTGTTTCTTCCCCTCTGAGGTCCTTTTAGCTCTTAATGGCTGAGACTCAGAGGTGCCAACAGCGTGGTTCCTGAACTCACCAGTTCACAAGCAACCATAAAGTTGGCCAAGACCACACAAGCCAGGCACTGATTACTTAGAAAATTACATCTTGATTTTTGGATGCTTTTTCCATAAAACTATTTTTCTTGGTGGTTTCCTGACTGCCCAAGCTCTTCCCTTTGGCTCAGGATACAAGCACAGTAAAACCCCTGAGCACAAGAGCCTGGGTGGCCAGAGCTCTCACCAGCACAAAAGCTCTCAGGCCCAAGACTTCAACTGTGTCCTGGTCCTTAAGTATTCCTTGCCAGATTGCTTTTTGGCTCTGTGGATCTGTGCCTGCTCTCTGACTTGACCTGTGAGACCTAGCCCAGACGAATGCCTCCTTTGAGAAGCTGTCCATGATCCTGTGCCTATCACTGCATGTGCTTGTCACAGCTCACATCCCTATCTCCCCAGAGGGCTGTGTCCTATTTATTTATCTCCGAATTCCCAGCACTCATCACATAGTAAATTTTCTATTGTTGGTTGAATGAATGAAGGACACCTTCTATCTGATCTATCCCTCCCTCCTCTGGCTTCATACAAAGTATGCAAGTCCATCAGTCTCCAAGGCAAGATACGCGAGGTCAATGCATTTATCAAGTTGGGAAAGTATTCTCTGAGGCAGATAATCTATAGCAAAGACTTATGTCAGCTAGAAAAGAATAGACCAACTAAAGTCTCCCTGAGTATTCTTGTAAAAAGACATTTTACTGCAGGACAATGGTTTACTAAGGAGTTTATGGCCTCTTAAGCTTGCAATTACTGCTTTCCTACAGGGAAGTGAGGCAGAAGGAGATTAATTCAGACCTGGGGCACACTGATGTTTTATTTTTTCCTTTTTTTTTTCTTAAGATTTTATTTTTAAATAATCTCTAAATGCAATGTGAAGCTTGAACTCACAACCCCAAGATCAAGAGTTACATGCTGTACTGACTGAGCCAGCCAGACCCCCACAGACAGTTTAACACTCAGACTTTTGTAATGTTTGGATGCAAGCGAAAAACACAAAGTGGATAGCTCTTAAAAAGATAGCCATGCTTCATGATGATAATGAAACTTGCAGAGGTTCAAGAAAACCTGGTGTTTCACTTCCCTGAGATTTCAAGCACTGACAGCCCTCATGTTCAGCCTAAACTGGGGTTCTATTACTTCAGTCTCCATCTAAGAGCGTCAGCCGCTCTTCCCTTCACCACTGTATCATACTCACACCAAAACCCTACCCTGGCTCTCCATAACCAAGTGGTGTATCTTTTCTCAAACTCAGGAGTTTGAATGATACTGGAGGAAATAACCTGTGAACAGGGTCACTGCAGAGTCTTGCTCTCTAGCCTCTGGGGAGTCCTCAGGGTCACTGGGCATCCTATCTGTGCTCTGGTCACCTCCCTCTCACATGCCTATCAGCCATTCCAAACCTTCATAATTCTCCTGTCCCTGACCCCACACTTGCCTCCCCTCACCCTGAGCATATACAGAATGAGACCAATTCCCCCCACTACTGTTCCTCATAAATGGATCCACAACCATCATTCCTCTTTCCAAATTCCCAGCTTGGCAGGCAGGAAAAAGGTCCCATGCCTCTACAGGGCTCCCAATCCTTCCCCCCGTACCTTGCCCTCTTCTTATACTTTTGACCTTTCCCTTGGGCTAGCCCTTTCTGGGGCATGTCATCCCCAGTTTTACATTTTTTTTTAAGATTTTATTTATTTATTCATGAAAGACAGAGAGAGAGGGGCAGAGACACAGACAGAGGGAGAAGCAGGCTCCATGCAGAGAGTCTGATGTGGGACTTGATCTGGGGTCTCCAGGATCACGCCCTGGGCTGAAGGTGGTGCCAAACCACTGAGCCACCCAGGCTGCCCCCCAGTTTTACATTTTAAAACAACACACATATACATCCTTCCCCTCATACACCCTTCAGTCAGCCTCCTTCTTTCCTCCCCTTCACAGCCATGTAGCTCTTCTAGAAAGAGTTGCTGACACTTTCTGAGATATTTTCCCACCTCTCACTCTTCTCAGCCCCCCAGTTCCTATCCCAGTTCTCAAATGAAGTGTCTCCTGCCAGGGTCCCAAATGGCACCCAGCAGATACCTCACACTGTAATTCCCTTGAGCTGGCTGTGGTGTTACTGACCATCCTTCCCTGCCATTCTCAACACTTGGTGTCCTCAGGCCCTGTTGTCGGCCTCATTCTCTTCTCTTCACACCATTCATTCAGACCCTTGCTCTGAAGCCAGGACCCCCAAGCCTCCTCCCTGCTGCCCTTTCCTGCTAACCCCCCACCCACCACCTCACAATGGACAACCTGTTATTCCCTAAAGGCATCCTTGTAGCCAGAATGCCCTAGCAATCCTTTTCCCTTCCTATATACTGCCTCTTCTAGAAAGTCTTCCCTGGCTGCATTATTTGCACGCGGTACCTATAGCGTCAGTGTCTGCACCTCAGCCTCCCCCTGTAGTCTCTGGGAGGACTGGACCATGTGTCACTCATCTTCATGTCCGTAATACCTATGCCTCATGACAGGAGTAATAAAGGGGTGTGGGATAAATGGATGGATGACTAGCGAGGGCATTCATTACCATCCACCTTCTACAACCCCCCAGGTTTATCCTCTACCCATACCTGTCTCCTGAGCTCCCAACAATGTATCTATTTTCCAGGGCCTCTCCACTTGGCTGTCCCAGAGGCCATCTCAAACTACAAATTTGCATACCGACATTGCCATCCTCCTTCTTCTTCTGTGAATGATACCAAAAGCCACCTGGTTCCCGTGCCAGAAACTTAACAGTCAGCCTAGAATCTAGGTTTTCTCTGCAACTCCACATCCTGTCAAAAAAAATCCTCCCTTCCACCTCCTTGATCTCTCCCCAACCTATCATCTTCTCCCCATCTAATCATTTCTAACTCTCCACCTATCATTTCTCACCTGGTCTCTAGGGACCTTTCTAAATTGCAATCTGATGTCCTACTCCTGCTTGACAGCTTGAGAGCCCCCACCTGCCACAGGATCGAGAAAATTCCCTTGCACTGAGCACAAGGCCTTCCAGGGTCCTGGCTGCTACCTTCCCTTTCCATCCCCTACTCCGAGCAATTTGGAACCTTCCACAACTTCACCAAACCCATCAGCCTTTGCCTGAAATGGCTTTCCCTTCCTGCAACTTCACCATTCGGAGTGTATGCTGGTGCAGGCCCACAGCACCTGCGCTTACTAATCACAACACTGCCCAGGTTTACACACATTGGTTCCTTCCAAGACATGGCGCTCGCTTGGGGGAGAGGGGGGTAGTTATGGATGGCAGTCTGCACATCCCAAAGGCAGCATAAATATTCACTGAATACCTAAAGGGAGACACTGGGGTGGCTCAGCAGTTCAGCGTCTGCCTCTGGCTCAGGGCGTGATCCTGGAGTCCCGGGATCGAGTCCCACAACAGGCTTCGGCATGGAGCCTGCTTCTTTCTCTGTCTCTCATGAATAAATAAAATCTT